TCTGAAATATAAAGATGCTAAATGAATTGGCTAAAATAACAGAGTTGAAAGGGCCAGTCAGATAGCTCGGTGGATTAAAGTGCCTGCTCAGGCAGATGCAGGGGCTGGAGCTTGATGCCTCGCATGCTGTCCTGACCCCGCCCTTGGGGCAGGCTGAGAGGGCAACTGAGATTGGGTGTGGTGGTGTGAACCTGTAATCCCAGTGCTTGGGAGGCTGTAAAACAGGAGGATTACTACGAGTCCGATCTGTGTAATGAGATCCTGTATACCCTGCACTAAATACACAAAAAAAATAAGTTGAAATCCTCTAAAAACTACGATCTTTCTGATCAGGACTCCTGACTTGCTCAAAATTATGTTTCTTTTACTGTAGGAAAACTAAATGAATTCTTTTTTTTCTTCTAAATGAATTCTTTTTTGAATTTAAACTGCCTTTTATAGTGTAAGAATAATTAATACTTCCTTATAACATGCAGAACCCTGAACAGATACATGCCCTGCTGATGGTCATCTTTATATGTGAAAAATGACACTGCCCTCAAATGTACTTTGTAATACAGCATTAATTTAGGTTGCCTACAGTTTAAAAATTAAGCTATACAAAAATAGCTGAAGCCTCTGTGGACAAAGGACATGTAATGAAAACTATCCAAATCGATGGAAGAAAGAGGACCTAGCAAAGGCCACTTAATACTACGTCACTAATTTTCCATCCTGCTAAGAGCTGGAAAATGAAAGCCATCAAGAGCATCTGGGCCATCTCCCAGTGTGGATTCCATCTCTGATCTAACCTTAGGACCCTTTTTTCCACATCAACTATAACAGCAAATAGGAGGAAAAGAGAACAGTTTTGTTTTTCCCTGAACCAAATCACATGAAAATGTTCTCTGCGTAGAGGTCCTGACTCTACCTGAAGCAATGTTACTATCAGTGTTTTCAGTTAATGCTCTGCACCCAGCAAGGACAGAGAGACGATGTGTTCTTAATGCACCCTGTGTGACTTTAAATAATACCTCAAGCCCCAGGCAAGTGAGGGTGGAAACAGTTTCAAATGGTCCTGTCCATTTCCCTGCCCACTCTCAGGAACAGAGAGCGAGCTGAAAGGGCCGGGAATAACCTGTGCCACACCTTGATGACTGCTCCAAAAGCGCCCTTGCCGAGAAGCTGTAATTCTTCAAACTCCATGAAATAGCGAGAAAACTGTCTCTGTGTCTCACTGAAGAAAGCAGAGCTGGGCAGCTGGCTGCTAGGAATAACAGTCTCGGCATAATCTTGGCCTCCAGAATCTGAGAGAAATAACAAAGGCATCAGATAAACAGGAACAGCTATGAATCCAGAGATACAGGCACTGAAAGAGGGGCTCCGACATGATTTGAAAACAGTACCACCTGAGTGACTCTACAGTACTTTTCCATACCTTGTCTTCTTTTAAAGTAGAAACATATAATCATCCCATTTTATAGTGTAGGTAACTGAGACAGAGACTAAGTGGCTGGACTAAAGAGCCAGAAGGAAAAGCCAGGTCTCTTAATCTAACCAGATTGCTACTGAAATTCTTTGATTTGCTACTTCAGTACCAGCAGGACCATCTAGCTACACGGCATCAAGGGTGACATGACAACAAGGGTAACTAGGCCAGGAATGGTGGTGCACACCTGTTATCCCAGCACTTGGGAGGCTGAGGCAGGAGGATCACCATGACTCTGAGGCCAGTCTGGGCTATATAGCAAGACCCTGTCTCAGTAAAAGAGGTGACTAATCACCCAGATATGACACTGGTAGACACTGCATCAGCAGGAACTGAAAGACTAAGGTGAAGAAACAGTCCCATATACAAAGGGACTGTCCAAAAATGAATGGATTTAAGTAAAGCTTGGTGTTAAATAGGTAAAATAGTCCATATAGCTCCTTCCAGTTTTAGGATTTTATATATTTTCAAAATAATTTAATGTTGAACAGAGTGTAAGAAAGAACAGTGACAGACTCACCTTCGGGACTCTGTTCTACCAGAGGCGTTCTGGGCTGAGGGTTTATAAAGCTGTGCTTCAGCAGTTGCTGGGGGCTCCATCTCTCCTTGTCATCCAGGCAAACGCACCTCAGGGAGAGGAAAGGGAGACACTTGGTAGCACACAGAATGCCAACCGAAGCAGCGCATGGCCTTCAGCTATGGCCTTATTCTGTTTTTAAATACATATGAGAGGATTCACATTACTTATGGACTAACAGGCACTTATTAGTGAATTCAAATCAAGAAATGTTTCTGCAGAATTTACATGCTAAGCACCAGGCTGGATGCAAATGGAACATCAAAAAAATCTTGCAGTTTCTATAAAGGCATAGGAACCCCCTTCCCCCTAAACCCCAACCCCAAATTTCAGGTTTGGAAGTAGGCTATGGAGTTTTCCTACAATTAACAGCTTAATGACCAGTCATACAGAAAGCTTTCCACAGATGAAGGAAATCAGATGGCTGGTGCAGGCCTGGGGCCCAATCTGATGAACGCGAGATGAAGGCTGTTCACAGTGTAAAGTGATTTGGTAACAGGAACACGTCTTAGAAGTCTCACATCTCAATACACGATTTCTTTTACTCCTCACTCCTTGAGCCTACTAACTTATCATGTAATGTTCTAGTGAGCAATCATCTTTTGTTTTATCAATCAATTTTGTTTTTTAAAAATGATTATAAACAAGCCATGCTTTTAACCCAGGGGTTCTCAAAGTGGGATCTCTGCCTGGCACTCTCAGGGTCATTTTAATTTAGCCTGGCAAGTCACTAAATTGTTAATGGGGGGCAAAAATTCATAGCCACTTCCACCACCTAAAACAAACAAGCTTCCAGGCCTCTATTGAAACTGCACTGCATTTTCATTCTCTACTTGCCCCCAGGCTCGTGCTTGATATGTAAATACTACAAAAATGTTTCCGAATTTAAACCTACTTATAAGTATATTCACTTATAAACTGTAAATACCATTTTGACTTCAACCTGGACCTGGTAAGTCAATAGCTCTGGGAGTGTAAAGAATAATCTGTACCTTCAAGAAGCCCCATGAGTTGTACAGGAACACTGTGTCACTACTCTAAGCTGGCTGTCCTAACATGACCATTAGTGGCATCACTTGGTAGCACTTCTCCTTAGTTACAAATAGTACAGTTGAATAAACTGTCATCATGAGTTCTAAAAAAAGTATATATTTGTGTACAAAGTAGTATACATATCATAAAGGATGACATTATATCACAGCACTAAAAAACAAACCATTCCTGACTTTATAATCAAAAGAGCAAGACAAAATTCCAATGAAATCATTTGTGCAAGATTTTGTGTTTTCCTCTAAGTTTAAAAGTAATTTTCATTATATTAGCAAAACATACTTTCTCTATACAATATTAAAACATTACCCCTAAAGTCTTTGACCATAACCTCTCTCCAAGTCTTCTTTCTGCGTCATGTGTATCCTTATGGACTTTTTTCTATGCGCTGACATATATAAACACAAAAACCATCCAAAATAACAGTTTTTGGAAACTGATTATTTTTTAAGCAACATTATTCTGTATACATTCTCTATTTTTTCCCCATTCAACTATGTCTGACAGATTCTTCTATGCCAATACATGAGTATTTAAAAGTTATTTTGTTTTGTGCACTGCAGATTGAACCTAAAGCCTTTGCACTGACTTATACTCCTAGTCCTTTCATTTTTTAAAAAATGTATTTAGTACAGGGTCTACAGGGTCTCGCTACACAGATCGGACTCATACTGATCCTCCTGTTTTCAGCCTTCCAAGCGCTGAGATTACAGGCACGTGCCACCATGCCCAGTAGTGTCTCAGTGCGTCCCAGGGGTAGGGTCGCCATGGCACACTGGGGATCGAACCCTTTTAAAATTTTGAGACAGGATCTCACTAAATTGCTCAGGCTGGTCTCAAATTTATAATTTTCCTGTCTCATCTTCCCAAGTAGCTGGGATGACAGGTATGTGTCAACATGCCCAGCTAATGATCTTTTCTAAACTTCTGTATAGAAACAGAACTACCAGATTGTATTTACACATCTTCCTATTCTTGGGATTTTTTCCCCAAGCCTTATCTCATTCAAAAATAAATATAGGGGCTGAGGAGATGGCTCAGTAGAATCAGCACTCCCCTGGCAAGCACAAGGGTCTGAGTTCAATCCTCGGTTCCGCAAAAATAAATAAATAAAAATAAAAAATAAATAAAATACAAACATCCTTGTACATGCCATGTTGGGCTTTAGAAACACATTATCCACTCTAACTCACCTATGACATTAATGTGACTGATATGGCAACAGATCTCAGTGTGACTGAGGGGTGCACGCTATCGGTGGAAGCACTTTATCGACGCACTTGATACGCTCTACCCTCCCAACCGTCTGGTGCTATCAGACAGTAAACTCAGATGAGCATTTCAGCCCTAGCCAGGAAGGCTGACTCAGCGGTGTGGCTCCAACATCTGAACACTTACCCACAGAGGCTGCTTTGCAAGCGCCCCTTTCTCTGTCGGGTGCTCACTAAGCAGTAAAATGTCACTACTGATAAAAGGTCGCTACACTGTCCTTATTTGGAGATGGACAGCAAAGGCAGCAAAATGATACCCTGCAGCTCCTTCCCCACCAAGCACAGTCCATGCAAGCACGCTCAGAGGAGGGAGGAACAGATAAAATACTGCCCAGGACAGGCGTGTTAGGATGAGAACAATGCTGAGCTCAAGTTCAAGACTGACAAGCACGTAGAGCTACTTCTGTAAGAGGACCAGGAAAACTGAAAAATATATTCTAGTTAAACCTCTTGCGCTATTTTAAACAATATACAATTACTACTGTTGACTTTTATTTAATTACTCTTACTCAGCTTTCTCAAGAAAGCCAGAAAGCTCAAACTGACATTTTGAAGACTGAAAGCGCCTTTCAGCCAACCTATTGCTCAAGTGCACTTAAATATTTTTAAAGTTTTACTGCATTTAAAAGACATACTACAGCATTTCTTCAAAAAATCTTAGATTTTTATATATACTTTAAGAATACAGCACACAGAATTGAAGGGGGCATATTTCCTATAGAATATGTTGACTTTGATTTCATGGTTCACAGAAACTACTTCACTCAGCGGCCGAGGAGATAGCTCAGTAGACTAAGTGCTTGCCTAGCAAGTGCAGGGTCCTGAGTTCAATCCCCGGCACCGCAATAAATAAAATAAAATGAAACTACTTCACTTAGATACAATCACGTGGTGCTAATGACAGAGGTACATTCTGGGAAATGTGTCACTGGGTGATTGTGTCGTCCTGGGAACACAGCGTATTTATGAACAAGGCTACAGCTGCCCTAGGCGATGTAATCTTCTGGGGCCAAAATCGTGTGCAGTCTGTTGACAGAAGCCTTGTTACATGACACCTATCAAGCACAGGTACTGTAACACTTGTAATGGGTGAGAGTGAATGACAGAAGTGACGTTAAGGACCGGGTAAACTGGCAACTGATAAGACTGGAACAGGGAAAGAAATGTGCAGACGAAAAGAAATATAGAGAAGACCAAGTATATAAACATGAAGATCAAAGGGAAAAGGTGATACGCAAGACAAAGTATCGTTCAACAGGAAAAACCTGATCCTGGTCACTTCTGCAGGAAGTCTGCACCAGAGGAATCTGGGAAAATCCAGACTGAAGGGATTTTATGGCCCATTTAATAGAAACAGGACTTATCTCTGGCTTGGACTGAGAGCACACAGGGCAAAAGAAGGCAGTGCTCCATGGAAGGGCGTGGCTGCACAAAGACTTCAGGCCTGAGGAAGCCTCTCAGTTAGGGAGTCCCTCAAATTGGATACGACTTGGGTTTATAAATCAGTGTGGGCCAGGGGGATAGCTCAGCAGCATAAGCACCTGCCTGGCAAGCGCAAGGCCCTGAGTTCGATCCCTGGTACCAAAAAAAATTTAGAAAGTACAAATGTAAATCAATGTGTACCTATACTTCACAGTACAGAAAATGCTCTGGCTAGAGTGCCCTATGGCGTAGCTGAACGAAACAGGAAAGGAGGAAGAATGGCTGCAAGAATCTGGGTCAGAATAACAGCCCTGAAGGTCATGACTTTGACCTCTTCAGAAGGATGGATGGAGAGGGTCTTCTAGCTAGAGCTCCTGGGGCTCTTCCCATGCAGCAGACTCTCCTGAGACAGATGGGAGTAGGGGGTCACTTCTTTACTGCAAGATTCCAGGCAGTCTCTCAAAAGTAATTTGATTTTCTTTTTTGTTCTGGTACCAGGATTCAAAATCAGAACCTCACAAGCAGGTGCTGTGTTGCTGAGCTATACCCCTGGCTATCAAAAGTAGTTTGCCCCTGGCCCCCCTGGCACACGATGCACTCCTTGGGAGCTGCCAGCACCCTGCACCCTGAACAGCCAGAAGCCAGAGGATGAGCCCAGCGCAGACTCTGATACAAGTTCATGGGTTGTGGCGGCAGCGAAGTAATTGAAAAAGGAAAGGCGATCCTTTCTGCAGCTGATGGTACAATTGTCTTTTGATGCTAATGTTTCTGGAAGAACCTTGAATGCCCAGGGACTTTCCTACCCTGCTGCTCATAATCTTCAGTCCTCTTCTGATCACTTTAGAACTAGGATTGCCAGGTAGAAGTTACTTTACTGATGAGAAGAGGTGACTGTCATCTGCCTACCTCAGCGACCTGGATGCACTGGAGCACGTGTCCCCAGGGGTACGTATATCTGTCTGATACCACTGCTGAGTCGGGCTCCATTCTGGTGTCATACGTTGACAACGTGAGGACTGACTTTCTAATTAAAACCACTGCTAACCAGGGCTTTTGGTTGCGCTCTTTTTATTTTATTTTATTTATTTATTTTTATTTTTTTGCGGAACCGGGGATTGAACTCAGGCCCTTGCACTTGCCAGGGAAGCGCTTATTCCACTGAGCCATCTCCCCAGCCCCATAGGTATGGCTTTTAAACTTCTATTGAAATAGCATATTTTAAAATGCCTCTTGGAAACACGAAGTACGTGCATTGATTTTGAGACAGTTTCTGTTGCCACTGAAAATAAATGAAAATATACCGGAAGCAAAAAAAAAATAAATAAAAAAAAAGTAGTTTGCAAATCATTTACCAAGGCTTGGGCTTGGTACACTTAGGAGAATGTGGCAGTTAAGGGACTAACGGACATAAGGTGGAAAAAGAGGAGGTTAGGAAGGGCAGGGAGAGCAAGGAACTGACCCTTATCCTGTTCTTCCACTGCGGCTTCCCCACCACTTAGCTGTCTGCACACTCGAGTGCAACCAAAAGCTCTGGCCTGGAAAGCAACTGCAGAAGCTCTGGGATACTCACTTCCTGAGGAAATCCTGGAAGTCAGCTGGTAAGTCACTGGGGATGGTTACGGGGTAGTCTCCGCACTCCTGTCCTTGACTGAGGGAGAGCAGCAGGAGCCCAAGGCGCCAAACATCCCCTTTCTTTCCTGTTTTATACGGCAACGCATTGTCACTGAAACGAACCCGGGTTTGCTCAAACACATCCTCCTTGCAAATGTCCGCCAGGCGCTTAGAAATGCTGTAGTCAGTAATCTTGATAGTCCCTTCTGCATCCACCAAGACATTCGACGCACTCAGGACCTTGTGTACCACGGAGTTGCTGTGCAGGTAATCAAGACCAGACAGGAGCTGAGCTGTGTACTTGCGAAGCTGATGCATGGGGACAGGGCCGGAGCGGCTCAGGTGTGCAGCAAGGGAGACGCCGCTGACATGCTCCACTAAAATGTCCACCACGATGGAGTCGTCTTGCTCCTTGGAATTCATGGCAAAGTAGCGTGCTACATTTGGATGGTTCAGTTTTACCAGTGAGCTGAATTCTGTTTCTGCTCCTTGAATCTGATAAGAAAAAGAAATATTTTCAAATCAGGGGGCAAACAAATACCCTTTAAATTCAAGCCTTCCCTAAATGGTATGGTTAACCTAACAGCTTATAAAGATGAGAAAACAACAGTTAACACTCTACTTAAATTCCAAAACCCAGTGTTCAAATATTACCAAGTTAGTGAATGAATTGGCATAACTGCAAACACCTACGATCCCAGCACTCGGAAGCTGAGGCACAAGGATCACAAATGTGAGCCCTGCCTGTGTCATGGAGCAACTTAGTGAGACCATGTCTTTGGGAAAAGAGTGGGCTATGGCTTTTAGTATGTTTCTTTTGAGATATAGCCACCAGAGAAAAGAAATGCTAACTTTAATTTTTCTGATTATAATTAAGGTCATTGTCAAGATTTTCTTAATTAGGGGCCAGCAGTATAACTGAATGGTAGAATGCTTGCTTAGCATGTGTAACTCCTTAGCAAAGCAAGGACTGACCCCAGAAGTGTTAACAAAACCAAACCCCTTCGAAACTACAAAGGAAAACTACACATTATCTCTAGGATCACCAGCCAAAAATAACCTTTGATTCTGGTATTAATTCAACCCCTTCCTCCAAGTATTAGGGATTGAACTCAGGGCTCTCTCACTGAGCTACTACATTGGCAGCTTTTCCTCTTTGAGACGGGTCTTGCTCAGCTGCCCAGGCTGACATAGAAGCTGCCGTCTTCCTGCCTTGGCCTCCAGAGCAGTTGGGATTACAGGCATGTACTATCATGCCTGGCTCAGGTTTTCTTCCTTCAGGGTAAGTAAATACACATCCCTAAATACCATGCTTCAGCTGTTGTTTCATAACCTCGTTACCACATAACACGCAGCTGTTTTCCTGGAAGTTAGTATTATACTAAACTTGACTTTAGCCAAAAGGCCGAGAAGCGATTAGAAGTCAGTATTACAGATGAGTGTTAAAACTCATTTTTTATTCTAGCACAGTAAAAAGGGAAAAAAACCTCTAGTCTCTCAAAAATTTAATTTTGAAGCAGTATTTCAAAAGGTAAAATAATAATAAATTTAAAAGGAGTAAGGAAAATATTATTAATTATGAAAAGCACAAGTGTGAAATAGTAGTTAGCTCCATTTGGACAGATGGCTGCTAATGGCAGGTGTGCTGCAGCCAGCTGCTTGTTATCACTGAAAGCTCTAAAAGGTTCACCATCACTATGGCATAACGGCTGAGAAAGGAAAGGAAGAAAGCAGCTGCAGGAGTTCTGTCCATGTTGGGAAAGTCCTCAGAGACACCGAATATGGGGCTCAAGAAATCCGGTGAAGAGGCCGGTCCCCCATGGTCCTCCCCGGCTGAACAGACCTCATCCACTCTGGACCCTCTTTGCAAGCTGTTCAAACACAGAGCTGTTTGTTTCCCACGTACAATCTGAGATCGGGCCTTCTGCAGGCAGCCGTGGCGGGTGCCTACCTGCTTTTTGCACTTATCAATCTTCTCCCTTTCTTGACTGGTGAGGAATGGACCCATTTTTTTCTGCCACTGAAGGACCCACTCATACAACAAGACAAAGCTGCCAGTGGCTGTTTCCAAGGCATTGTAAACTAATTTTCCAAGCTGTTCATCACTACCTGCACATTAAACAGAAAAGGCAGTGAAATCTTGCTGTGTTCAGTGGGGAAAAAATCAAGAAAAAGGGATATATGTTCATCTGTTCAACAATGGATGCCAGGCGCTTAATATGAAAAACAGGATTCTATGTACTCTATGTGCTTGTTAACACATTTTTAGTATTTAATAACACACTAGGCTCTAAAATACTAATTTTTATAAAGGCACATGAATCAGCAATGAGAGCTTAGTATCTATCCAGACACCCAGAACAGAGTTTCATTCTTCTGGCCGTTATTCACAGACATGCTACTTCCTAGCCAGTTTATCTGCAGGCTGTGTCTACTGGCGTACCTCACTCACTACACACCAACTACGCAGTGGCAGGAATTTGGACATAGAAAGCTGTCATCACCATGACTCCACCAGCATAGATGAATGCACACAGCAAACACCACTTTTAATAATTTGAAAATGTAAAAACATCAATGTTTTTCCAAACACAAAACTTGAACACATTCAATAAACACAAACTGGCAATGTTTTGGAAGGAAGCAGAAACAATTTAAATTGAAAGCTAGAAAGATGATCACGGTTATTTAATAAAAGGTACATGGTTTCCACTTGTACTTTGGTGACTTTTAATTTTTGTAGCATCAAAAATTTTCCTATAGAAATTTCCATTTCATTACAAAGTATAATAGAAAACTGCCTAAAAAATGAAAAAGAAGAAACAAAAAATCAATATTCTGGGCTTGCTTTCCCTTCTCCCTAACTTCCCGAATCATTGCATACATGGCACCCTCAGCATTGCCGACGGCGTGGTGTTACAGACCAGACAATCCTTTCTCACAGGGGCTGTCCTGTCCTGGCCCCTGTCCACTAGATGCCAGCAGCACCCGCACCACAGCCTAACTATCAAAAACATCTGCCAAGTGCTGAGGAGGCAGCTCGAGGCAGAGCACTTCCCTGCTCAGGCGAGGCTCTGTTCACTTCCTGACAGTGGAAAAAAAAGTCTGCAATAATCACCAAACATCCCCTAGGCTACTAAAATGGTCCTGCTTAAGAATCACTGATATATAATACTTTACCTTTCTCTTAGCATATAATGTTGTTGAGGGATCAAAGAAAAAAAATGTTAAGGGGTACCAATAGTTGTATTTTTTGGGGGAAAAGATGTAAAATGAAGTTACCTGTACATAAATGATAAAGTAGTCTTAGCAAAAGTACTTTAGACAAATATGGCTGAACTAGCTTACTAGACTTTTTAAGAAGCAGTTTTTCCTTCAGAGAGATACTGATAACGTAAGAGATTTTATTTTTTAAAAAATAATTTTATTGAGGCTGGGGAGATGCCTCAGTAGAACAAGTGCTTGCCTGGCAAGCACAAGGGCCTGAGTTCAATCCCCAGGTCTGAAAAAAAAAAAAATAATAATAATAATTTTATTGAGAAACAAATAGCAATGAGACAGTTTCAAAACTGATTAGTAGAACAGTTTCAATAATTAATACATTGCATATTGTTGTCTTCTTAGTGGTTATTCATAGTACAAGATGCAGACAGAATATCCTGTCCACAAACACTATCAGAACAATTTTTTCTATTCATTGAATTGAGAAAGTATATCTATCCTAACTATTCTGAATATATAGATACAAAATGGTCCTTCATTTGTATCCCCCCTTTTTTTTTGTTTAGTTAAGAGATTTTAATTAAAATGATGTTATAATAACTCTTAAGTCTTAGTTTTAAGGGGAAAAAAACCCTAATGTTTTGAAATTTTGTCACTCAAAGTAAGCAACCTAAGAAATGTGGGCTCTAAGCAGCCCACTGGAGACACAAGACATTAAATATTTATGGAATGGAGGGGATGTCATTTATATAATGCCTAATTAAATTTCTGTGTTATACAGTGCAGTCTTGTAATATTTATCTCCCCAATTGGGACTAGGCAGGCATTTCATAATGGCTGGGTTCTTTTTAAATTGTAATTTTATTTCTACTTATCACTTTTTTTCATGATGAGGATAATAAAAGGGACAAAAGAACACAATGAAATGAGGCCATCGGCACATATGTGACCAAAAGAACTCGGCCTGTTGTAGCGAGCAGCAATCACTTACAACATTTTGCTGTAGTTCCAATAGCTTGAAACTGAAAGACATGTATTAGTTGGTTTTCAAATATTTTATTATTGAAAACTAAAAATTAAAAAACACTTCCTAGAAAATTATGATATATTTTAAAAACTAGATCCACTGTGAGAAATCATAATAAATAATTTACTTGGTAGTTTTATAAAAAATTCTTCAGTTGTAAATCCACCTCCTAATGAGGGTATTAACCAAGGTGAATCTGCCTAATGAGTACCGCTGAGACCATGTTAATTTGCCTTTCTGATTTCCCCTGGTTATTAAAAAGTAGGGAGTTTTATGTTTCCGTTCATGAATCTGAAACGCCTCTGAGTCAAGGATGGCCTTGCATCCAAGTCAGTCATCTCTACCACAGAATATGGCAGCCTTGGGTGTCAGATTCTTGTCCTGTCCAGGCTGGTGAAATGTCCAATTCATAGATTATTCTGCTTCCTCCAGCCTGTTCCTTGGTTACTCTCCTGCTTATTCATATCTCATTAAAGAAGAAGGGTGAAAAGGAGTTTAAAAAAAAAGCAAGCCCCAGTTAGATCACATGGTGACCAAACTATTTGTTTTGGGATGAAAATTAAACTGCCAAACTTACTACATATAAGTAAGCCCCATACCAAGAAGTGCTTGAACTACAGGGCTGAGAAGAGATAACATCCATTCAGAGCAAAAGAAATGGAGACTAGAAACTTCTTTTGTGGCGGAGCGGTACTGGAGATGGAACCCAAAGTTTTAACATTAAGATATCCCCAGTCCTTTGCAAAAATTTTGTTTTAAGATAGGGTCTTGTTAAATCGCTCTAGTTTGTCCTTAAACTTGTAGCTCTCCTGCCTCAGGCTTCTAAGCAGCTGTGATTATAAATGTGAGCCACCACATCTGGCTGAAAATTTAATTTTAAATATAGCAATTCAAATCCTAAAGTGCAAGACCAGCCTGACTCCAAGTAGCCCTCAGTAGACAAAATTGTTAGGTAGATATATAGAAAATGTGGTGGTTTTCCTGGCTAGGTACAACATGCCTAACAGGAAAACAACAAGCCGATGAATATCCACGTAAGACAATGAGGTCTGGTCATTAAAGATCGCAGGTAAAAGAGCTACAACAGAGATTTCTGGGAAGATGCCACAGCAGTACATAGCAACAAACCAACTCTGTAAGACTCAGCATCCAGACATGGGATAACAACAACTTGTGGATGAGGAGGAGAAGGTGGATCTGTGGGACCCAGGAATGACCTGAAGGGAAAATTGGAGCTCACAGTAAAAAAAGGAAGGGGCAATCTGTACTTACTCCCTAGCTCCCAACTCCCTCTCCCAACTCGCAGGAGAGGAAGACTGAATCTACAGAAACACAGTGAGGAGAAAGCGGGATGTCAGACTTCTGCACTGGAACTTTCCTTGTGGTAACGAGGGAAGAGCGGTGACCACCCGGCGTGGAAGCTGTAGTACGTTTAAAAATGGGTGATGTTGAGAAAGGCAAGAAAATTTTTGTACAGAAGTGTGCCCCATGTCACTGTTGAGAAGGGAGGCAAGCACAAGACCGGCCGAATCGCAAGGTCTCTTTGGGCAGAAGACAGGTCAGGCTGCTGGATTCTCTTATACAGATGCCAACAAGAACAAAGGACCACCTGGGGAGAGGATACATTGATAGGGTACTTGGAGAAACCCGAGAAGTACATCCCTGGAACAAAAATGATCTTTGCTCCATCAAGAAGAAGGGAGAAAGGGCAGACTTAATAGCTCACCTCAAAAAGGCTACTAATGAGTAATAGTCACTGCCTTATTTATTACAGAAGTATCTCATGGCTTTTGTAAGTGAACCATAATTTAATAGATCTCATACACCAGAATTCAGATCATGAATGGCTGACAGAATATTTTTGTTGGACAGCTGTGATTTAAATAAAATTGGCTTCACCAGGTCCACCCTTAAGGCAGCCTGAACAAGCCCCCCTCAAAAAAAATCTTTCTGAAGTTTAAAATAAACAAATAAAATTGGCTTGTAGTTAAATGGATATCTTTTTTTTTTTTCTTCAAGTTTTGATAATAATTCCACTTCAGTAAATACTACCACTGTTTTCCCTTCTAAATATATGTTGGGCTTGATTAGTAATGTTTGACTTTTCATAAAGATTGAGAATATGATTTCAAAACTACTGAATGTTGGTTTTATATTTAGATTTATATAACTGGTTATATGACCATATTTAAATACTGGTAGAATCTTTCATTGTCTTGAAACCAAGCAGGACTCCTCTGTTTCAGTTTGTGTTTATTAGCCTGTTAAAGGAAGTGGCTGAAGACAAGAAAGCTATGTCTATATTTTTAGTCTTGACTATGCCAGTTTAATCAGAATTCCCTATATCTAAAAAGTGCTGCCTTTTATTTATTGAAAGGCATTTTGTTGTGGTGTATGTACAATACAAAACAAAGAATATTTAACATTTATCACATTTTATAGTTGAGATCCTTTTAAGAGTTAGCATGACATAACAGCATGCTAGACTTTACTTTTGAATCCTTTAGGTCACACTGAGTTACTGTTCATGGTAGTATTTAAACAGCTATTTAAAAACACAAGACTAAAAACTACTGTTGTCTGTGTGACTGGTAGTGGTGCTTCCTGTCAGCTCATTAGAAGGATTAAAGTGAGGATGGTACAACATGAGCATAAATTTGTATGTGACCATAATACTTAATTAAAAACAAATCAGATTAAAAAAATAAAAAAAAAAAAAGAAACACAGTGAGGGCAGGTGATTCCAGGGGTCTTTAGGGAGAAACACACCAGTCAATGGAGTGGAGGATGTTGTGCATTACAATAGCTGGTGAATGACTCCAGGCCAAATGACTGCTGTGTCCCATGGAGAGGGTGCCTGGCCAGATGCTATTTTAGGGAGGGGCCAACTGAATCCAGGACTCAAAACAGCCATGGGTAGGCTTCACATCTGGGTAACCACTGTTGAAATCCCCCAATGATGGTGTAAGAGACAAATGTAGGAGATTAGGGTTAGGGAACCGTGGTCAGGCCAGTGAGAAACACCCAGAATATGGCAGGTTGAAAGACCCTGGTTCCAAGCACACAATTAGAGGTTAGGATCAGACTGAACTTCTATGAGTTGGGAAGTACCAGAATTGGCCCCCACCCCAACCCCACTGCAGCCCTGATCTGGGTTCTGCCTGCCTGCTCTGTCTACCACTGACAGTGGAGCCATGTCTTGAATTGGATACTACCACAAACCGTATATAGCAAAAGATAACTATAGACTTGAAATCACAGAGAAATTTCTTTGTTTGCTTTCTCTTTTCTAGATTACTGTTAGCTTATTTTTTCATGAGTGTGAGCATTGTTTCTAGTTTTCTTCCTTCCTTTCTTCCCTCCCTCCCTCCCTCCTTCCCTCCCTCCCTCGCCATTTCCCCAAGGCTTGGGTAAAATTCCTTTGTCCCTCAGCCTTGTTTCTAATCTCTTTCTCTTTTTTTCTTATCCCTTTTAAAATTTCTTCTGTTAGGGCAAAATCACTCTAGTGAGTATTTATTATATACATTTCTAATGTGTTTTAGATGTTCTTATATAATTATATATCTCTTGTATCTATGGTTAAAGGTTAAAAAGTAGTAGCTACAACATCTTGTCATTTTCCAGTCTGTGCTTAATGTTATTGTTATTACTGATTGTACTACTTTAGCCAAAGTGACATAGTTATATCATCAGTTATTCTTCCTTATATGCCAACATTAATATTTTCTGGGGTTCATAAACAATACTGTAGTCTTGTACCAAGGAACTAGTTGCTAGGCCAAGCAGGCAGCAAACCTTCATCTATAATAAATTGAAGAGGAAGGATTTTGGGACAGATTCAAAAGCCAAAAGGAGCTATGCCTAGAAGACATCTCTGAAAAGTAGTCATTTCTTAAAGAGGCCCTGATATTAGTATTAGAGCTATCTATAGTAAAGCCTCAATACAGAAAACAAATAAACAATAACAAAAATAGAAAATGAGATGGCACAGGAATGAAAAGGAACCAGTAACCAGTGGTTACTTGGGCAACCAATAATCCACAACTTGCCCAAGGCAAATCAAAGGGAGCATTGAAGTAGAAGAAATAAAAAAAAAAAAAAAACCTCTCATCTTAATTTTATGAATGGTGGCAGTTAAGTAACAAAACAGATCAATAAGTCTCTTGACAAAAAACCCCAAACAAACAGGTAATTAAAGAGATGATCACAATGAAAGAAGTGGTTCGTGAATCTAGAATAAATACAGATGGGGGAAAAAAAAATAGAGGTGCTTAGGAAAGACATGGAAACTATGAAAGCCCAACACAGAAAAGAACTACATTCCATAATACAGACTCAAATAGAAATCCAGAAGGTAAAAATTCTATTGAAAGTATACATAGCAGAGTCAACCAATGTGAAGACAAAATACCAGATTTAGAAAACAAGACTCATGCTGGGGATATAGCTTAGTGGCATAAGCACCTTCCTGGTAAGTGCAAGGTCCTGAGTTCAATCTCTGGTACTGAAAATAAATAAATAAATAAATAAATAAATAAATAAAGGGACTGAGGTTGGTGATCATCAAGCAAAAAACTTCTTAAAAATAGCAAGGGACCACAAAAAAATCTAACAGCTGCTAGATGATGCAAAGAAGACCAATATAAGAATATTGGAATCAATGAAGAGTCAGAAGATAACAAAAAGGACAGAAAAGATCTATACACAAAAATAATAGGACAAAGCTTCCCAAGCATGAAAAAATAACTTGACATACAGTAAGTGGGGCACACAGAACTCCAAATAACCATGATCAGAAAAAATCCACACCCAAGGAATAGTCACAATTCCAGAAATTCAACATAAGAACAGAAAATTAAAAGCTGTTATAGAAAAGAAACCAATCACTCATAAAGGAAAAATCAGAAGGACAACAGACTTCTCAAGATAACAGGAAACAGAATTCATTTTGTTATATAAGTTTTATCAGTATCAGATTCACTTAAAGAAAGAGTCTCATTTCAACCATTTGTGTCAAAAAATGTAGAAAGTCACAATGATAACTTCACAATTATCTTTAGGCTGACAATATTTCCAACGTTGACTGCTTTCTTAGTAACTTCTTATTTTTTGTCATGAAGAGTAGGAACTAAAATAAGCAACTAACTGCTTAATAGTCTTCCTTCAACCACATGGGTTTTTACAACATGGTGATTTTTTTTTTTGTTTTTTCTATGCTGTGCCTTCATGTTTAATCTTAGCCATTACAATAACTTAAGGGAATTCAGCTGATTTACTCACCAATACATCTCCCTTTGTGCACCAGGAGTTGATCAGGATTACCCATACAGAAATACAGGATTTCACAAGAGCCGGGAGAATCTTCACTACTGCATATAGAATACTGACGTTCTCGCCTTAAAAATAAATTTGGACAATGTTTTTTTTTCCCCCTTTAGTTTAAAAGTAACACAGGAAATTGCCCCTCCTGTTGATTTCTCCTGTTGATTTGCCCACTCACAATCCAACATCTGAGTCTGCAGAAAATGAAGCAGAAGGTTCTATGGGGAAGGCTGTTCAACTCCTTGACTCCTGACTGGTGCCTTCCTCACATGAGATTTATAATCCCCCAACTCTAGCCTTGTGCTGCCCAATGCAATAGCTACCAACCACCTGTGACTATTTAAATTTAAATTTCATTTCAAGAGTATTAACTGCATTTAATAGTCAATCACTACACATCTCTAGTGGCTACTATGTTGGACAGCATAAATACAGTATGTTGTCATTACCATAGAATGGTGATCAGCCAGTAGTGATTTAGATGAATTCCATAATAACTCCATATGTGCTCTTTCCCATGTATGCATCTGTCTGTCTGTCTGCATCTGTCTGTCTGTCTGTCTGTCTGTCTGTCTGTAGAAAGCTCCCAAACAGCAGGATTTATAGGCTCTGGGAGTATTCGCCACGTTTTCCACTTGGCTCCCAACCTTTGAATACTCATTCATTCTCTCACTTGCCTTTGGGAGATATTCCTATCAGTGTTCCCTTCCATGAGTTCTCCCAAATACTCAATCCCATCTCCACCCCTGCTTTTGGATGGGGAGCAATAGCTTGGAAGCTAGATTATAATGCAAAAATAACAAATTGGGGAGAGAGTTGTAGTGAAACAAAGAAGAAAACATTCTTATTTAAAATTATCCCTTTTGTTAGTGTATATATTTGTGATACATAATAAATACATTCATCATGGGGAACTGGTACATATACTTATCACATTTTGATCTGGTTTCCTTCCTCTTTCTATCCCGTTTCTGTCTCTCCTCATTCCTAGATCTCCATGTCTCTACACAGTGTACCTCCCTGTTTCCTATCATGAGATAGGAGAGCTTCTGATGGTCATGACCGGACACTTAGAGGAAACAACTGATGCAGTACCTGGACAGTGCTCCACAGAGATCACTCTCTTGCTCTTTATGGTCTTGGATTCTACTTTCACTAAAAATATGAGGCCATGAAGAGTAAAGTCCACACTGCTTCATCTACAAAGTAATTTGGCATTAGACCCATTTCTTTTGGGCTAAGACTGAGGAAGGACCACAGGGAATATCCTCAGTTCCTTTCCTTACTTTCTTTCCAAGATCCTGGCCCATCAGTTAGCCTTCTCCCTATAGGGTCAATCTGTCCCTGTCCCCACACTCTCTGCTTCAATCCTGCTCCACTCACCCACTCTTGTTCTTCTTACTGAAACTTCAGCACTTGCTGCCTTCATTTCTTGAGTGTTCTAGTTACTCTTCACACTGCTGTGATGTCAATAACACTACCCCCTCTCCCACCTACTCTTAACCTGATTTTTTTCTTCTCTTGATTCCTCAACCCTTGCTGGTAAAAAACAGGTGAACTTCCTGAGGCTCCTAGCCCCTGAGACTAACTGGCCCTCAGCTACTACCCTCTTTTCTCCATTTTCCCTGCCCTTGGAGGTCCTCTCCAACCTTCTCTTGGATATACACAATAACCTCTGCTTCCAATCCTGTACAACTTCTCCTTCCCAAATCACTCCTTCATCAGTGACAAAACTATGTATTATGGTAAGACCATATTACATGTGTGTCTACAAATTCTAAACCCAGGCAAATAACTAGTATATTGTCATCCTGTTTAAACTTCTACTTCTCAAGTTATTTGTGCAAACAGAAACACTCTGAGATTTATAGAGAAAAGGATAAAACAAAGGTTCAAAATAATATACTAGACTTATATAAAATATCTAGCAACCCCTCTACATACACTCTATACCTCTTACAGATAATGCTAATGGTCATTTTAGTCTAAGCCACCTTAATGTTCTTTACTGTGAGTGAATGCTTGGTGTAGTGGTGTTTTAGAATATTAATCATCTCATTATGACTGATTCATACAAACATAGGGTTAAGAATTATAAGAAAAGGATAATTAGGACTAAAGGAACAGTAAAAATAAGTTTAAAAATAATTTATTTAAAAGTAAGTTTAAATGACAAATGTAGTATAGGAGAGTTTGTTTGCAGGAACAATTCTAGAGGATAAAATAAGAATTTTACCAGAGTTTGAAATAAAAGAAATAAAAGAAATAAAAAGGCAACATCCAAAGTCACTGATTATCTTTTGTTTTCAGCTAAAAGATCTGTCCATCTAGAAAGCTCATACAGTTTACTTGACAGTCATTAAGAGCTGGGGCTGGTAAGACAGCTCAGTGGTCTAAAGTGCCTGCTTAGGCAGGCTTAGGCATGCGTCTAGGGACTGCAGTTCAATCCCCAGCACTACATGCTGTGCCAGCCCCCATCCCCAGGATGAGCTGAGCCAGCCACAAAAAAAAAAAAAAAAAGAGCTGTATCGTTCAGATAGGCCTTAAACTCATTACATAGCCCAGGCTGCCCTCGAATGCAAGGCAATCCTGCTATCCCATTCTCCCAAGTGTGGAGATAACAGGCACATGCCACCACATCTAGCTAAGACTTTACTTCTTAACTAAAGAAGCATGAGAACTATTCTTTTTTTTTTTTTGGCGGAACCAGAGATTGAACTCAGGCCCTTGTGCTTGCCAGGGAAGTGCTTATTCCACTGAGCCATCTCCCTGGCCCCGAGACTATTCTTTAAGAAAGACCCGTTCTTTCCCAGTCAGTGGGCAAAGCAGTGAGAGCACAGTTCCACACAGATCTGTGCAACAAACTTGGCAAACAAGAGATGAACCAGATGGAAACTGTCTCTTCACCTTTGTCCTTTGAAGCTGATGGAACGCTGTTTTATTTGAGATGCCATTCTACAGAGTTTACATCAAGTTATTCCATTCATATCAAGGGCAAAGAGACTCTCTCACCTTCTTTGAATAAATTTGTTATCATTGATCTCAAAAGCAAGTCTAATGTTGGAGTCATAGTTTACAGTTAGCTATAAATATAAAAATGTTCACACTTTAAAATTTTGTGGTTTTTTTTTTTTTTTTGTGGTACCAGGGATGGAACTCAGGACCTTGCACCCACTGAGCTATCTCCCTGGCCCCTAAAAATTTGTTTTCTATCTGTCTGAAAAGATCTGATTCTCATTTATCTACCTTTTCTTAAAAATTTTTTTTTTATTTTACGGGAAGGGTTTACAGGGTGTTCAGGGTCTCACTACTAGATCGGACTCACAGTGATCTGCCTGTTTACAGCCTACCAAGAGCTGGGATTACAGGCGCATGCCACCACGCCCAGTCTCAATTGCGTCTCAGCATACCCAGGGGCAGGGCCGTCATGACAGGCCTGGGGATCAAACCTCTGGCCCAAGCCTGCTTGCAGGCACTTCAATCCACTGAGATATTTGGCCAGCCCTTCATTTATCTACTTCTAACACAATAGGAATTTGCAAAATACTTTCTAGTGAAATTCTCCAACAACTTGTTGCCTATTGGAAGCCTAGTTGCCAAGATAGTCTAAATTGGTAGCGTTACAAGGAAGCCATAACCTACTCAATAAGGAGGTATTTCTCAAAAAGGAATTGTTTTTTTTTAATTATTTATTTATTTGTGTGTGTGTGTGGCCAGCTCAGCCCACCAGGGGGCGGGGCTGGCTGGCATGTGGTGCTGGGGGATTGAACCATGGTCCCTGTGCTTTGCTAAGCTTGTTCTAAGTAGGTGCTTTAGACCACTGAGCCATCTCACCAGCCCTTTAAGTGGTTTTTTTTTTTTTTTGGTCCGAATGCCTTCAAGGCATGACTGGCTGGCTTCTGTTGTGGGGATGGAACCACAGCTACCTGAGCCTGACTGCTTTGTTGAAGCAGCCACTTAAAAGAACTGAGCTAAAGGGCAGGCCCCCTCAAAAAGGAATTATTAACAGAAAGGGTAATTAAAAAAAATTAAGGGCTGGCCTGAAAGCTCAGGGGACTAAAGCTCCTGCTTAGGCAGAGCGCAGCGGCTGGGGTTCAATCTCCTGAGTGCTGTGCAGGCCCCACCCACGGGGTGTGCTGAGACTGTGATGGAGACTGGGTGTGGTGGCACGCACCTGTAATCCCTGCACTTTGGAGACTGAAAATAGGAGGATCACTACAAGTCAGATCTGCGTAGTGACGCCTGTAAGGCAGCCTGAACCAGCCCCCAAAAAAGAAAAAAAAATTCTTCCAATCTATGTAGTGAGACCCTGTAGACTCTGTCCTAAATACAAAAAAAAAAAAGTTTATCCTAATAGTAGGTCAACATTAATATCAAAATGATTTCTAGACTGTTTTAAAAAAAAGTAGATCATCGGGAAAAGGCTAAAATAGTTCTCTCTGACAAAGTATAGCTTGAAAGTTCATCTAGATCTTTAGTTTGGTAGTGAAAATGTTTCTTTTCACAGAATTGTTTGAGTGTTGCTTAAAGTCTCAAAAGACATCTTAAGAAGCTGAGGTTTCTACATTATTTAATAACCTAACCATTCATAAATGGCTTCTGCAATGTGATTCCTTGCTAATGTAAAGGAAAAACAGACAAGGAAGTTTGTCTTGTGGGAAGGGATATGGAGGAAGCAGCAGGGTCTCCCGGGTGACGTCCCACGATAGGAACAACCCATCAGGCTGCCTCAGCGACAATGAGGAGAGCCCAGCAACAAATGGGGCCCCTTCTATGAAGAGGGTGTCCTGTCCGTGCCCACTCGGGAGTGTGCCCATGCCCACAGCTAGACCTAAGGCGCTGGAGAGTGAAGTGTATACGAGATGGAAGAAAAATGGAAACATTTACTAAGTATGTCACAACAAGTCAAATCAAATGGTACTGATGGTAAGATTGTAAAGTGTTATAGGCTGTTTTAAAGGGGTCTGAAGTATGAAACTGGTTTCATTAAGGATACTTGGAAAGCATTATATGAAAATTTGGCTTTATACAACTCACATATTAAGATACATAGACTTTGAAAAAGCTACTGAGTCCTATTAGAAAATTTCACTGTAAATTGTTTTAATTTTCTACTTTTTTTTTTAATTCTCCCAGATCACAAATCCCAGGGACTTACCTAGCTCTTCCTGAGGAGTTTGCACGATGTTTACCATTTCCTACAAAATCAGGAGACCCTCCATGCATAGCGACAGGTGTTCGGTGTCCTCCAGGGTCTTTCTTAGAGCTATGGTCTTGATTTGACAAGTTAGCAATTTCCAAACGTTCCTAGGAGAGTAAAATCATAAAATCCAATTTAGGAATAAGTAAAAAAATGGAAAACAAACATAGTATCTAGTTTTCAATTCCATACAAAATGCAAATTTTATTTAAGGTGAATGTATACAATACTTTTGAAGTCCGCTATAAGGAAATTTATAAACCCTCCCCACCAAATATGTGCTAGGGTTAGGTGCCGAAGTTCAGGTGACAGTTTTAAGAGATAGGAAAGCTGGTGGAAACAGAAATAATGTTTCATATTTGTACACAGCATTGTGTTTTCACACAGGATAGTATATTTTTCTGTTGACATAAGTATATAACACAGAAAGAAAAGCACTGTCAGTTCTACACATAAAGTATGAGGAAAACACGTCACAGTGTCAACTGGCTAGGTCATAGCCAAACAGCAACAAGTACTACTTAGCTAAGTAGTACTTATTGGCACACTGGTGCCATTTCTTAACACACTAACAATGTCCCTTAAGTTAAATGGAATACTTCTAAGACAGAGAATGAGCAAAACTTTTTTCTGGATTTCTCCAAAAATGTTTTACTTTTTCTGACTGAGCCAGAATCAGGGAAAATGAAAAAAGCGCCACTGCTTCTGGGTCTAGTCATCCTTCCCTGGATGAAAGCTCAGCTACATACATACTTTCTACTCACTCTTCAGTACAAACAGATAGTTTTATATTGGAGTATTAAGAATTCTAGTTCTTGTTCATTGTAAAGACTTCAGTCTCCTCTACTTTGGTTCATTTGGTAAGTTTTGGTGGGAAGCTGCTGAGCTGTACTCTCCTGAGAAACAAAGCCCCTGGCCTTGATCTTTATCTGACCTTTACCTCAACCCTATCACTGAGAGAGCAGAGCTGGCTACAAGGAAGCACATGCTTCCTCAGTTGGCCAAAAGAATGTGCCTGAGTCTGGCTGCCAATGTGTCTGTCAGGGCACACAGGCACGAATGCCCTCCCTCCATGCCCACTGCTGATGGCTGGAGTGGGGGCGCAAGCAACAGCCTACGCGGCTGGCTAACATCTCAGCTGATAAGGCCATGTAACTCAGAACGCTTCCTTGACAGTAAAGGTGCCAGCCTTGCATACATGACACTATCCCTTGTACCACTACCTGGAGAGCCTCTGGGCCTGGGACAAATTGCTGTTTCTCCTTACAGTCAATGCCTGCAGAGTTCTTCTTCCCTAGCACGCTGAAACCACCTCTGCCCACCTCTCTGATTGACGCTGTCTTAGTTACTCTTCTCTCGTTGCTGGGACAAATACCCGACACTCAAAATGAAGGAAGGAAATGTTTATTTAGCTCACAGTTACTGGAGGTTTCAGTCCATACTCAGCTGGGTCCAACGCAGAGCAGCACAGAGCAGAAAGCAACCTTTCATGGTGGTGGCAAAGAGCAAGAGCGCCAGGTAGGGGTAGCAGCAGCTCAAGCAGCTAGCTTCTCTTCCCACCTTACATTGTAATGCAAATTACCTGCCCTAGGGTAGGGGAAGTACTTACACCTATGGGTACTTCCCAGTACTTAGCCAGCTATGGGTAATCCCAGCAGTACTAAGACCCATAATCCCAGCCTTGGATCACACATAATCCCAGTGGATCATGAGTTAACACAAACTCTAGAAGTCCTCACCCCATGACGACATGAGGCTTTGGGGGGACAACGAGACACAAACCATAACAGACGCCAATAAAATCCATACACTTTTGGACTCATGGCCTTTTGTTCCACTGAAAACACTGGTCGTCTCAGAGCTCCTCATCTGCAGAACTTTCTTTGTCTCTGTTTTGCATCCATGTGCCATACTGCTGAGTGGGAGAGACTCTGGAAGTTACTGTAACTGTACAAGCCCGAGTCATCTCATGATGATCTATAACTCAATTTTCCACTTATTTGGGGGAATTTTCAATACACAATAAGTTAAGTTTTGAGACTGCTTAAGGTTTTCAGTGTTTTGTTTTAAACTTTGCTACTAATAGTAATATAGAAAGTAAAATATCAATGGAAATAAAAACATTTATCATTAGTAAAATAAATTATCTTAGTGTAGCAAAATTCACAGACTACCTGCTTAGCCATTTCTTTCCTTTTTTTCTCTTCTTTTATCTCTTCTTTCCTCTTCTGAATCTCATGAAGGATTTCACGTTGCTGAAATAAATCAAGCCACCATCAGATGCCAATCTCTGAAATCCATACAATGTGTAAATTATGGAGCTACAAAGTCTTTGGGAAAGTCAATAACCCAAGCCCCTTTTTCCTAAGAGGTACAACTATGCAGAGCCCTAGTGCAGAATGCTGTGAGAGGGTCCTTGGCAAGGGCCTCTTGGCTGAGGTCTGGAGACTGCGGGGAGGGCATTCTGGGCATCCTTCACTTCTCTACCAACAGCAGAGGGGCGTTCGCTGCAGCCAGGCTGCCAGTTCTCACTCTTCTTGTCCTCTCTGACACCTGCTTGTGAACTGGCACTCTGGTTGCTCTGTGCCATGAGGCCCAGCGCTTGTTTGCTGCAGGTGAGTGGCGCTGTCCCCAGCACCAGCCAGGGGGTGATGGCCCAGCTCTGTAGTCATTGTCTACATTCTGCAGTCAATCTTTTGAGTATTAAAAATGGTTAATTTGGTCTCAGCCCATTTTTTATTAGTTCCCTAAAATTCAACATGATAAGAATCAAAACTATTAAAGAGACTCACCAGAAACTATGATAAAGAATAATAGAAAGTGTGAAAACATACCCCAAACACATAGACAGCTGTGGCACTGTGTCAAAACAAGATTCTTAGCTAAATATCCACTATCTTCTAAAGATAAGGAACTGTACACCCTAAATGATGATAAGGCTACACAATCCCCTAGGAGATAAGCAGCAGCAAAATGGGTGTGGCCACAAGGAGAAGTGCTAACAAACATTCGGTGAAGAAAACAAGGCAGAAAGAACAAAAAAGCCAGGTCAAAATGAATGTATAAATAGTCCTGGATGGGAAATCTGAATACTATCAAGATGCTAACTTCTAAATAATTATGTAAGTTTGGTGCTATTTCAATGAGCATCCAAGAAGGTTTATGTGTTTTGTGTTGACTTTGCGAAAACAATCTGACATTGCATCTACAAGAATAAATGTGTGAGAGTGATGAAAGGAAAAAAACAGTGGAAGATGGAGGTAGGGAAGGGTAGGCCTGACTTGTCAGATACTGAGACATTCTAAAGATACAACAGTTTAAAGAGTGTGTTAGCAACTCATAACAGCTGAACCTTGGGAAGTGGCCTACAGACTCATCAATAGATGGACGGATAAAGAAAATGTGATACACTACATGCACACAGTGGAGAACTACTTAGTCATAACAAATATGAATCATTTGTAGGTAGAAAAATGGATGTACCTTGGGATCATAGCGCTTAATGAAATACATCACTTCTGTATGAAGCTCAGGTTTCTTTTATATAAGAAACACAAAGTATAAACAATATAGAAAGGAAAATAAAAAAGAGAGATAACAGGAAATATAGAGACAGTTCTTTTGCAAACGGAAAGGGAATCTGGAGATGGGGAGATGGGAAGGGAGAGAAAGGAAGGGGAAGTAAACAGAATTAGACAAAATAGGTATGTGTACCACCTCACCAAGACACATATATGAAGTAAAATGAGGTAGTCGAGCTAAAACAGTGTGCAAAGATGCAAGAAAAAGCAGATAATGTAATCATATTAGATAATTTACCAACAGAACTTACTACAGATAACTAGTTCAAGTATACTTGTACAGAACATATTACAAGACATAATAAAAAAGGACTTCATTAAATCTTTTAGGAAAATACTCTTAATAAAGAATGATTATTTAATAAACATGATAAGAAAATATCCAGGAAAAAAAAATAAACCAAGCTCTCCTTTCTACAACCTGCACTAAAATATGTTCTAGATAAGTCAATCAAAGATTAAATAGGAAAGGCTGGGGAGATGCCTCAGTGAACTAAGTGCCTGTTTAGGCAAGCGCAGGGACCAGGGTTCAATCCCTGGTACTACATGCTGCGCCAGCTCTGTCCCAGGTGTGCTGAGCCAGCCACGAGACCGGGCATCGTGGTGCACACCTGAAAGGTAAGGTAGGAGATCACATCCCATACAAACAGGTAAGCACAAATAACAGTTTAGTTCTTGGCTTTTTCTACTTATTAAGGTGCAGGATACTTGTTCCAGGTAAGGAAGAAGTCAAGGCTGGTCACTGTGGAGCATGCCTGTAATCCCAGTACTCTGACAGGCTAAAGCAGAAGGACCACAGATTGTCTGGGCCATCTAGCAAGACACTATCTCAATTTTTTTTTTAAATTAAATTTAAAAAGGGGTTGGGGTGGGCTGGGGATATAGCTTAGTGGCATAAGCACCTGCTTAGCAATCACAAGGTCCAGAGTTTAATCCTCAGCACTGAAAAAAAAAAAAAAAAAAAAAAAAAAAAAGAAGTGGGGCAGGATGGGAAGAGAGCTCAGAATGAAGACACTGGGTACAATCCCATGTAATACACATACCACACATAGCATTCAAGCTGAGTGAATTATTGTAAACTTGGTAAGCTCAGAAAGACTACACGAAGCTTGGTTAGCAGATCTTTTTTCTCTTCTCTCTCTTTTTTTTGTTATTCGAGACAGGGTATAGCTACACAGTCTAGGATGGTCTTGAACTCACTACGGAGCTCAGGCTGGCCTCAAACTCCTGGTGACCCTCCAATCCTCCTGCCTTAGCCTCCTGAGTGCTAGGATTACAGGCATACGCAACCACACCTGGTTCTCTCGTTTCTTTTTTTAATCCCTACGTGAGGGCTCTGAGGGGCAACATGCTGATTTATGCGAGGGAGCCAGTCACAGAGTTTCTGTGACTCTTAGGCCTCTGTTCACACAACTCCACATTTCTTGAAACAAACACTGAGCAAAATGTACAGATAAATTTTTTCATGGACAGAGACAGAATGAAGACCCACAGGAGCCCCCAGGTCCCCCAGAGCTGCGAGGGGAGGCACGTCTTACCTCTTGCTCCTCTTTCCGCTTGGCGTCCAACAGCCTCTGCTGCTCCTCCTGAGCGCGCCTCTCCAGCATCTCCTCATGGAAGGACTTAGGAGGGGGCTTGTTATGCTCGGTCAGAAAGGACTGCACGTGGTAAGCCAGTTCAAATATCATCACCTGACAAGCCAACAGAGGCGAAGCACGGTGATCAGCTCACAGGGGACAGGACGGAGGAGGAGAGCTTCTGAACAGTGAGAGCTGGCTAGGAAGAAAACGGACTTTCCCCTCCACCGACCCTGGCAGAGAGCTGAGCCACTTCCACAGACGGGCATCGTAGCCTGAGGATTCTTTTGCCTCAATTTTAACGAGGTCATGCAAGATTTCTTAGCTTTAGTATGTTTCAAGCAGTTTTTAAAAGGACTTAATAGGACAGTAAATTAAAAACAGAAGGAATTGTGCAAGAATATATATAGTCAGTTCACTTGGTAGTCTATCTTTCAGGAAATAAATGTGAAGAAACCACAACTTTCTTGGGTGAAGTTAATATATTTTATTCCACCAGAACTATGGTATTTACTGGATACATTTTAAAAAATGTATTTAGTACAGGGTATTCAGGGTTTCACTACCCAGATTAGACTCAGAGTGATCCTCCTGTTTTCAGCCTCCCAAGCGCTGGGATTACAGGTACGTGCCACCATGCCCAGTCTCAACTGGCCAGAGTGCCCCAGGGGCGGGGCCAGCACAGCACAATGGGGATTGAACCCCCGGTCCCTGCATCTGCCTAAGCAGGAGCTTTAGTCCACTGAGCTACCTGGCTAGCCCTACAAGATACATTTTGATTTAGACTTGAAAAACACCAGCCTAAAGACTAAGTGCCAAGCTCGTCTAAGGAAAGCTGGAAAAAAAGCAGGCAGTTTCTGTTATGTCAGAGAGAACATTTCTAAACCAGAAGCCAAGGAATTTTTTTAATTGATTTATTTCATTTACTAGCACTTTTAGTGAGTCTGATGAAACTTATGAGAGCGGATGAAAAAACCCCTTCTCTACACTGCCCCCTAATATGCCATGTGGCTCCTTGTCTTGCCTCAGGCCCTGCTCAAATCTTAGAGGGCAGGAACTCCGCCTATCGTCCCTCCAGAGCCCCGCCTGGTCTCCTCGCCATCACATTTCTTCCCTGTACTTGTGCCGCCTGGTTTGGTATACAGCTGTCACACCACTTTCTGTCTGCTCTCCCCAAAGGGCAGCGCAGTGGTTTGCTCGCTATGGTTTTCCTGGTGCCGCAATAGCACCTAATGCATGCAGACAGGTAATAAATATTTGTTGAAGGAATTAATGAATTTGACTTTGCTCATTCTCAAAAACAGAATCTGAGGTAAACTTAAGTTATGGAGTGATTTAAAAAAAAAAGCTGTTGTACAGGTTAAAAATCATGCAGAGGCAAGAGGAAGTGCTGAAGGACATGTGTTTTTGAGAGTACATTCCCATTCTAGTAATTAAGTGACTCATTTTAATACTCAGTTATTAGTGAATGCCATACCACAATGAATCCCAAAGCCATGCTTTAATGCTTAATTATACTACTTTACTTACAAATAAAAACAGCACCTTTAGAACTATGTGTGTCTTAAATTTCCTAAAACTTCTGACAAAATGAAAACAAAACTTAGACGAACAACAGTGATTGTGCAGTGCATTCCCACATTCAAGGGCTTTTCAAACCTCATTACATGAGGATGTCTCAGGTGAGTACTATGTTTTTTATTTGTGACAAAATAAACATAATGTAATATTTATCATCTTAAACAGTAAGTGTATATTCAGTAATGTTAAGTACATTTACAGTGCTGTACAAGCATCTCCAATATCCATTTCTAAATTTTTTTACTTTAAAAACAACTTATTTCAAAAGAAGTTTAAAGGGCCTTTGAGATAGCTCAGCAGACTAAGCACTTGCTTAGGCAAATGCAGGGACTGGGGTTGGATCCCCGGTAATGCTTGCTGCCAGCCCCACTCCACCCCCAGGTAAGCTGAGCCAGCCACAGAGACCTGGTGTGGTGGTGCATGCCTGTAATCCCAGCGCTGGGGAGGCTGAAAACAGGAGCATCACTATAAGTCCGAACTGCCCTGTACCAAACACATTAAAAAATAGAGTAAAATAATAATAAAGAAGAAAAGTGACAGCCAGCTGCAGACCCCAGTCAGCTACATGATCAGGAGAAACAATGGATCCTCTACAACAGGGGTCCCCCATAGCTGGGGCCATGGCACAGACCAGTGATGGTGAAGCCTTTAGTGCTTTCCATGACGCACAGCTGGCTTGGCATGCACACCACAGGTACACCACTACTGGCACAGGCAATAATTGGGCACAACAGGACATGAAGATGTGGAAGGAAAAGACCCATTAAGTGGTCACATCACAGCAAAGTCATCCTATAGGTCCGTGGCTCCCAGTACCTGGCCTGCTAGGAACTGGGCAGTGTTAAGCTTCATCGGTATTTACAGCTGCTCCTCATACCCTGCTCTACCATCTGAGCTCTGCCTCCTGTTAGGTCAGTGAGTACACAAACTCTTCGTGGACTGAACATGCGAAGGAACTAAGCTGCATACTCTTGAATCATCCTGTAACCACCCCAGCCCTCCACCCCAATACCCTACCTTTCTGTCCTTGGAAAAATGGTCTTCCATGAAACAGTCCCTGGGTCCAAAAAAGGTGGGGGTCTGCTGCTCCACAGGGTGCTACTGAGCTGAGCTTTGACATTCAGTCCTTTAGGTGTATTAACTTAATTTTTGACTTACAATGGGTTTATCAGAACGTAACTCCACTGTAAGATGGAGAGCATATATGAATATTTATAGCAATTTTATTTGAAATAGCCCAGAACGTGAAAGAACCCAGAGCCCCTTCGCCTTGTGAATGTTTAGATACAGACAATGGTATATCCATGCCATGGAATACTTATCCAGGAAAAGAAGTAACTGCTAGTGATACATGTAACAACTTGGAGGACTCTCTAGAGAATCCTGTTGAGTGAAATAAGCCAATCCTACAAGCCAATCCTAATTACATTGTATGTAACATCTTTCAAATGAGGGAAGTATAGAAATTTAGAAAAGTTAATGGTTTCCAGGTATAAAAGAGAGATGGGGGACGAAAGGGGAGGCTAGGTAAGAGCAGAGTGAGGGACCCTTTTGGCGATCCTTTTTCTGTATTGAATGTGTCTTATTTCAGTGTCCTGGTTATGCTACCATATACAAGCATTGCAAATGTTACCACCAGGGCAAATGGGTAGAGGGTGCATGGGGTCTTTCTGTGTTTGTACAATTGCATGTATACCTATAATTATATATAAAAAAAGTTAATTTAAAATAAAGCAAAAATAATTAAATTACAAGTTATGAATCTAAGAGACCAGAGAGAGGATTTTCTGTAGGTGAATTTTCAGTGTAACTATATTGTTTTTCCATTAGACAGTAAGAGTCCCCTTTATACCTGAAAGAAATCTAGAATAATTTCCATAGATCTAGGTTTCTCTGCTCCTTTTATAATCACTTTCTATAAATTACCAACTACTGGTCTCCTACAAATAGCAAATTAAGCAGAAACAATTTCTTTTTTCTTTCTTTCTTTTTAGTTTTATGAGACAGGATCTCTCTATGTGGCTTAGGCTTGCCTTGAACTCCCTTGGTCATCAAGGCTGACCTTGAACTCACAGCAATTCTCCTGCCTCAGGCTCCCGAACACTGGGATTGCCAAACATGTGCCACCATGTCTGGCTAAGTGGACACAACTTCTATAGCCAAAAGGCACCTCATGGATGGCATTGTGACGGACAACATCACGGAATGCAGGTGGAAGGCTGCCTAGTCACTTTCCAGGAGGTGAGAGCTCCTTCAGGTCTCGTTAATGGAGAGACAAGTGCAGAGCCCTAGGCTGGCCCCTCCTCACTCTTCCTAGTTCTTATAGGATAGGATTGTGGAACATGGACTGCCTAGGGATGTTAGGACCTAGAATGTCCCTTTCATGTCCCCCTCCTGTGTCTAGAGGCTCATGTATTACCAGCTTGGTCCCCTTTGGACTGAAATCTCCACATTTAACCTTTTCTCTTTGAAAGTTCAGTTATTTTAGTTATTTGTTACAGCAACCAAAAGCTGACTAGCACATTAAACTTGATACTGAATGAGTAGGGAATGAAGGATGATACGTAAAGGAAATTGGCCTGTGCTGCCCGAGAGAAATCAGTACTACTCTGCTCCCAGGACTCACCTAGTCCTGCTTTCCTGCAGTCTGCCACCTGTGGGAGAATTCATATCTAGACTTGGACTTTCACAACAATTAGTACTGAGCTCATGTAAATGCTTAGGTACACTAGGAAGAATGTATGCAATGTGTTAATTATTGAAACTGTCCTACCAATTTGGTTGGAAACTGTCTCATTGCTATTTGTTTCTCAATAAAATTATGGAAAAAAAATTAAAAAAAAAAAGAATATAAATTGCAAAACCAGGTGTGGTGGCACACACCTATAATCCCAGCACCAGGGATGCTGAGACAGGAGGATCACTATGAGTCCAAGCTGCATAGCAAGACCCTGTACCAAATACAATAAAAAAAAATGAATAAATAATGTTTAAAAATAAAATAAAATGAGAGTTGAAAAAAAAATGCTTAGGTACAGAAGAGACACTGAAGGAGTGATCTTTTCTTATGCTTGTTTTTGGGACAGGGCCTCACAGTGCAAAATGGCCTTGAACTCTTGATCTTCCTGCCTCAGCCTCCTTAGTCCTGAAATACACCTGTGTGCCACCATGCCTGCCTTGAAGAAGAATAACCACTAATTATCAAGAAGGAAGATAGTAAGTTTTCCTGATATACAAAAACCACTTTTCTGTGCCTGCCTGGCAAGCACAAGGTCCCAAGTTTGATCCCTAGTACCAAAAAACAAAAACAAAACAAACAAACAAACAAATAAAACTTTTCTTCATTTTCTAACAAACAAGTTCAAATAAAGATGTAATCATGGTATGAGATTTAAACTGTGCATAAAGTGTGACTGGGTTATGTTAGCTGACCACCACCTGTATACATTCTACAATTTATAATCCAAACATCTTGTAAATTAAATAAATGCAAGTAACAAAGTCCCTCTTTACAGATACCAATAAGAAACAGCATGCTCTAAAAAACACTGAATTGGAAAAGGCAGGAAAGCAAATGCTGGTGAGCACCATGCAGAGTATCACTGTTCATCTCTAACACTTACCTCCCCGCAGTGTTTTCTGGCCAGTTCCTCTAGGCGAGATTTTAACAAATTAACACTCTCGTTTGACAGACCTTTAGCATTCTTTAACTCTATTTCAGGAACTCTGAAAAAAAACCAAAAAAGGAGTTATTCCAGAAAAGGCAGCTTGTTTGTACTAATGTTTGCTAAGTTCCCGGCACACTTGAGGGCCTGCGGAGTCCACGCGCACCTTGCTTGTGGGTGATCCTCTCCAGGACTACAACCAGCAACCTTTCTCTTGATCTCAAAAGCATTTCAGCCACAGCCCAGCAACTCCAGCTACACAGCGCCCGTCAAGGAGTGGCGGGCCCTCAAGCTGAGCTGCCGGGTGCCCTACTCCTTCGGGAAACCTAGTCCTTCTGGGCTCAACTGGCTATCTCCCAACTCTTCTGTCTGATTTCAGTTTTATACTCTAATTAAAATTTTCTCAATATCATTTCTTATTTATTGTTTCTAATTTGCCCCTGAGCCAGAACACTGGGTTTTGTCTGTTAAGAAAAAGAAAAAAAATGTCCTGCTATTCTGACTGTGACCCAGGCGTTTAGCCACACACTTCCTTGCGCGGTCACCCTCAACCCGCACTTGGCCAGCACCAACTCACTGAGCCCTGGCAGCCCTGGCGAGAGTCTCACTGCTTCACTCAGTTGTGTGCTGCAGCACAAAGCAGAAAAGGACGCTGGTGTGAAGGCACCACAGTGCTCCAGCTACTGTCCTCACATCACGCTGCACCCCAAACTCATTCTGGGATGAGCACAGGACACGCTCGCTAGCACACCTGTACACCTAGTGTAGACGCTCGCAAAGCCCGCCTGTTCCAGGGGTGCCTGATTCAGTCTCCTCTTCCCCACACAGAGCTCACGTGACGTTTTCACCTCAAGGAAATGACACAACCAGTCCTCAGGTTTCCTTTTATTCC